ACACCACCTCTGCTGTGCTTGCCAGCGGTAAGCCCAGCTTCTGGCTGAGCAGGAGCAGGGGGGGTGGCGTGTTGGGTGGGGGGAGAGAGTGTGGCTCAACCAGAAGCTGGGCTCGCTGCTTCTTAGCGCTGGCCCCACCCCTGGCCCACTGGTGGGGGGCGGCTATCTGGGGCCAGGCCGGCTGGGGGAGGGGCGGTAGGAGGTTGAGGCACTGAGGTCACACCCTGTCTAGCCTCTGCAGAGGCTCCAGGACCAAGCAGCCCCCTCTCCCGCCGCCTCTGCAGAAGGAGAAGCCACAGTGCTGGGAGGTGACTGGGCCTATCAGGGGAAGGCGCCACCCCCGCCACCCTGCTGCTGCTGCCACTGCCAGCCGCCGTGGCAGCCTGCCCTAGCTCGGCCCTTGCAGCCACAGCAGCTTTGTCCGGAAGGAGTTCCAGACATCCAGAAGATGTCTGGTCTATCCAGTCTAATTAGCATATTACCCTTTTATGAGTATAGATTTATTTATTCATTTATTCATTTCCTCACCCAAGGATATGTTTATTGATTTGAGAGAGACAGAGAAACAGTGAGAGAGAGAGGAACATCGATGTGAGAGAGAAGCATCAGTAGGTTGCCTCCCATATAAGATCTGACCAGGGGTGGAACCTGAGACCTAGTTATGTAACCTGACTGGGAATTGAACCCACAACCTTTTGGTGTATGGGACAATGCTCCAACCAACTAAGCCACCTGACCAGGGCAAGATTTTATTTTTTAATGCCTGAAATGCACACACACACACACACACACACACACACACCATAACTTCTTTATTCTTTCATCCATTAATGGACACTTGGGTTGCTTCCATATCTTGGCACTTGTAAATAATGCTGCAGTGAACATGGGGGTGCATATATCTTTTAAATTTGTGTTTTCATTTTCCTCACATAAATACTCAGAAGAGAATTGCTGGGTCATGTGGTAGTTCTAGTTTAAATTTTTTGAGAAACTGCCATACTGTTTTCCATAGTGACTACACTAATTTACAATCCCACCAATAGTGCACGAGGGTTCGCTTTACACCATTCTTGCCAGCATTTATTATCTGTGTCTTTTTTATGATAGCCAATCTGGAGGTGTGACGTGTTATCTCACTGTGGTTTTGATTTGCATTTTACTGATGATTAGTGATGTTGAGCATCTATTCATGTACCTGTTGTCCATGTGTATGTCTTCTCTGGAAAAAATGTCTGTTTAGACCATCCACCCACTTTTTAATCAGATTTTTGGGTGGTTTTTCTATTGTTGTTTGTTTTTGCTATTGTGTTATATAAGATTTTTATATATTTTGGATATTAATCAATTTTCAGTTATACAATTTGAAAATATATTCCCTTTCATTTTATTGATGGTTTGTTTGTTGTGCAGAGGCTTTTTAATTTAATGTAGTCCAACTTGTTGATTTTTGCTTTCATTGTCTTTGCTTTTAATGTCAGATCCAAAACTTCATCGCCAATATGTGTGCCAAGGAGCTCACTGCCTGTGCTTCCTTCTAGGACTCTTATGCTCACGGGTCTTACATTCAAGTCTTCAATCCATTTTGAGTGCCTGTGAATGGTATAAAATGGTGGTCAGTTCATTCTTTTGCATGTGGCTGTCCAGTTTTCCCAACACAATTCATTGGAGAGACAGCCCTTTTCCTGTTATATATCCTTGGCTTCTGTGTCCCTAGCCCTCCCTGATTCTCTGTCTGTGTGATGGGTCACAGGACAATGACATCCACAAGGCCTCCTCTCAGGCTGCCCTTACACAGGTGAGTCCCTGTGCCTAGAAAGCCCCAAGTCATGCCCCTGCAGTTGTTTTCCTTGGTCATACTCTAGGCTCCACTGCCCAAAAGGGATTGCTGTTCTCCGCCACTCCTTGATGTCTTGATTGTCCTGAAAAATGCACTTAAAATTGTTTCTGAGCATGTGCCATATGCAGTGATGTTCCTACTCTCATTGGTCCCGCAGGGATCTTTCTTCTCCATTCTTTTGAAATAGGCCTTCTTAAACAGAATATGCTCACTGTGACTCGGCAGAAACGGTGCTTCCTCATGTTCTGAGGAGTATCCATGACGCTCCTTATTTCCTACCCAAGGCCTTGAAAGAGGCCAGGGCTCTGTCACCTTACTAAGTATTAACTTTTTGTTCCATGAAAACACTTCCCTGAAGTGGGTGATAATTAATTGCTCCCTTACATAAAGCACAGTGCCCTGGAGTTACGCTCAGCTCCATAAAAGCCTAACACATGAGGAACTGACTTTAATATACTGGCTGATTTACTTGGTCTTGTTCTGACTCACCACATGTCATTGTTTGTGTCAGAGTTCATCAATCTTGCTTTGTTTTGGAAAAGATGATTCATGTGTATGCTTCAACTGACTGAATAACAATATAGAAGAGAACAAAAATGCATGGGATTTTGGTATATTCATTTTTTGATGGTAGTAAACTACTACAAATGGATTTTCATGTTTCAAATGTTTCAACTTAATAAATTCCAATAGTTCATTGCTGGGCAAATTAAGACAAGGCCAGTGTGAAATAGCTATTGGAACTATGCTACGAGATACTCCCCTACATTTCAGACCCTGAACACTGTATGTATTAATTTGCCCATCTTTGACCTTGAAGCCCAGAAAAACATTATTTAGCTAAGCTTTAGGAAATATGCCCAATCAATAACAAGAAAACCAAAATCACCTAATAAATCCTGAGCATATAGTGCAAGAAGGATAACGGTATAGAACATCTAATTATGGTCTAATCAGATGATTAAGACTGGCCACGTAATTTTTCTCACACTTTGGCTATGATTAGATCCTATCTGTTTGACCTGTCATTTTTCTATTCTCACAATCTTCTCAATATTTGAAATACTTTTAACAGAATAGCTTGAATTAAATAGAATCTTTCAAGGTGAGGAGTACATTATCAGTGTCAAGTACAGAAAATTCTAGTGTTGGATTGATTAAAAGAAAAGAAAGAATTTTCATTCCATGAAAGTGAGGCCGTAGACTAACGAGAGAAGAATTTCCAGTCCTGGCATAAGCGTGTGAGAATCCTGGGCAGATGTTTAAATGTCGCTCCACTGCCTCGAGCAGATGCGGCGCTCGCTGTTCTATTTCAGGAGCAGGGACATGGTAATGAAATAAACACGTCTGACAACAAGAGATCATTTTCATGAATTAAATTGTTTGAAGATGGAACACTTTAAAGGATTTTAGTATAGTATATCATTGTACCTGGTATAAATTTATAATGTGCCTTTTTTTTCCAAAATAGACTAAAGTCAAGTTTAAATGAGATTAAATGAACTGATGAAAAGCTGTTTCTGAATCTTTGAAGTGGTTTGGGCTTTTTTTTTTTAATCAAAGCAAGTCCATCTTGTACATGTTAATGTAAATTATGGGAGTGAATGTCATATCTCCATCTGCTCCAACAATCTGCTAAAACATACAGTTCTTTTGTAGGGAGAGAGTTTATAATCTTTCCAAATATTGTTATCAGAACCTCTCCTGAATAAACTGTGTTTTGGGAAAGATCTATTCTTCCCCAATGACCTAATTTCCTGCTCTGGCAGAATTTCTTGGTGCTCTCCCCAGAAGCTCATCAACATGTCTTCTCTGTTCCTAGAAAGGGATTATCGGCTCTTGATAACATCCCTGTTCCATGTGCACTCGCCGCCTCAGTGCAGCAGCTATTGCAGTTAGAAACCACCATGGGAGCTAGGAGTCCTTCACAACCGAATGTTTACATTGCAAAAGAGGGAGAGAAGTCAAGGGAGGCCGGCTTTCAACCACAGGGAGGGTGGACTCAGAGCACCTCTGCAGCTCAGTTTCCCAAAGCGCCAGCATCGGTTCAATGGAAAGAGCCTGCCCCAAGGCTGGGTGGCTGGCCGCTGCTCTCAGGGAGAGCTGGTGCAAGTCACTCCATGCTACCAGCCTCACTTTCCACATCTCTAGTAACAACATACAAAGCGCTATAAAGTCCTAGTCAGTTTGGCTCAGTGGATAGAGTGTCGGCCTGCAGACCAAAGGGTCCCTGGTTTGATTCAGGGCAAGGGCATGTACCTTGGTTGCAGGATCCTCCCCGGCCCAGGCCCTGGTCGGGGTGCGTGCAGGAGGCAACCAATCGATGTGTTTTTCTCACATTGATGTTTCTCTCTGTCTTTCCCTCTCTCTTCCACTCTCTAAAAATCAATGGAAAAAATATCTTCAGGTGAGGATAACAACAACAAATAAAGCGCTATATAGATATTACACATGAAGCATTATGGAGGTAACAACCACCACACTGCTCTTCTGTAAACATTAAAGAAGACAAATCTGTATGTTATTTTCACATATTGCATTTTTAAGCCATAATTTAAATGTGACAAAGTAAATAAAACATAGTAACTAGGATCCTAAAATATTAAATTGGAAGACATCTTAAAAATTGTTTACTTCAGCTCCCTCATTTTAAAGGACTTTTAAAAAAATATTATTGAGAAAGTTAAATGGATTGACACTAATCTTAGTGGAGTCATTATATAAAATTGGACTAAAAATTGGCTTATTATAAAACCATATTAAGGTCAGAATGTTTTGCTTTTAGCAAAAAGACACTTCATTATATATACACTGGAGGCCTGATGCACGAAATTCATGCAAGAGTAGGCCTTCCCCCGGCTGCCAGCACCAGCTTCCTTCTGGCATGCGGGACCAGGCTTCCCTCGCAGCCCCGGCTTCATCCGGAAAGTTGTCCGGAAGGATGTCCGGTCTAGTTAGCATATTATGCTTTTATTATTATAGATAATGTAAGTGTTTATGGAGACAGTGTGTCAGAGCTGTGCAGGGTTGGACTGAGCTAGGTGATTTTAGGACAGGTACTGAGAACAGTTCACACAGCCTCTGCCTTCAAGGTGCTATACTCCATAAGTCAAAGAAAACAAACAAAAAATCCAGTAATCACACTCCTTGGTGTTTATTCAAAGGAGCTGAGCTGAAAGCGTATGTCCATACAAAACCTGGACACAGATGTTTACAGCAGCTTTCTTCGTAACTGCCAAAAGCACCAAGATGCTCTCCAGCAGCTGAATGGATAAATAACTGTGGTATACCCAGACGATGGCATATAATTCAGCAGTAAAGAGATATTAGCCATCAAGCCATGAAAATACATGGAGGAAACTTAAAAGCTAAATACTAAGCAAAAGAAGCCAATCAGAAAAGACTATGTACTGTATTATTTCAATTATATGACATTCCATAAATATAAAACTATGGTGACAGTAAACAGATCAGGGGTTGTCAGGGATTGGGGGTGCATGAATAGGCAGAGCATAGAGGATTGTTAGGACAGTGAAACTACTTATGGTACAACAGTGGCAGATGCATGTCATTATACAATTGTCCACACTCAGAACTTACAGCACCGAGAGTGAATCTTCATGTAAACTGTGGACTTTGGGTGACAATGGGTCAATGTAACAAGCGCGCCACCGTGGCAGGGGATGTTGATGACTGGGGAGCCTGCATGTGGAGGGCAGGGAACATAATGGAAAGCTCTGTACCTTCACCTCAATTTCACTGTGATCCTAAAACTGCTGGTAAAAATAGTTTTAAATAATTATGTCATGCACAGAGGCAAGGACCATAATAAATATGTATAGCACCGTAATGTTTACAGGAAGAGAAACAGATCACATCCCAATCTATTATTTTACACTTAATTATTAGTCACGATCACCAACCCATTCCTTGTAAATGTATGTCTAATTAGGTGCCTGTATACTCTCTTGTGGACCTAATTAACCTTTGATTTGCTTTTTTAAAAATAATTTTTTTATTTTTCAATTAACATAGAATATTATATTAGTTTCAAGTGTGTCTGTTATGTGAGTTGTGTGCACCCTCTTGTTGTAGTTGATCCTTGATTGCTTTTTGGGGGGATTAACACTCAGCCTGATTGGTTGTGAGTATTGGCCATGATTACAGTGGAGAAGCTGTTGTGCGGGGGCTGGCCCTAATGAGCAGAATTTGTCTTAGCAGGGTTCTGGTGGCTGCTGAGTCTGAGGCTGAAAGTGTGTTGTTTGTGGAGGTGGTTGGGTGGTGTTCTAGTGTGGTCTGAAGCTGGTCACCTGGTGTGTTGGTTCTGGGACCTCTTGGAAGACGTGGGCCAAGGTCAAGCTGCTATCTGTGCTCTGCTTGGGACCACCTGGTATGAGCAACAAAGTGATCTGCTGATGGCTGCCACTTGTCCTGAGCTTGGAAGTGGCTGTGAACTGAAGCTGGGTGCACTAGTGCTGGAGGTGAGGCTGCTTAGGAAGAGGCACAGGGCACGCTGAGGCCAGATGCTGCTTGTTTGGAGTTTGTAGACTGTTGAGAGATTTTAGGAAAGTATAAAGCATGAGCCAAGAGAGGCCTTTCATTTGGAAAAGCCACTGGAAACAGCTTTGGTGGGTCCACAAGTTGGGTGGGGTGGGGCTTCAGGGTGTCACCAGGACAGAGCAAACAGTGTGAACCAGGTTGATGGAGACCCAGACTTGGCGCCCACCTGCCAGCACTTCTGTCTGGGAGAAAGCTGCCCCCCTCCCCACTGCTGTCACCCTGAAGCTGGACAATTCAGTTCCACCCCTATGTCCCTGATGCCTTTCAAGCTCCTGCACCAGCCCTGGGGCTCAGAGGAAGTGAGTCCGATTAAGTCCATACCTGGTCCCTTGACTAGGAATCCTGGGACTCCAGCTGCCTTCTCTCTCCCTCAGCCTTGGTCCCTGCTGGCTTTTATAGCCAGAAGTTATGGGGACTTCTCTTCCTGGCTCTGGAACCCTGGGCGAGGGGTCCTGGTGTGGGGCTGTTACCCTTGCTCCTCAGGGGTATCTCTGCAGATGAGATGTCCCTCCTGAAGTTTATCAGCTACACGTGGGTGTGGGACCAGCCTGTTCCCCATGTCTACCCCTCCTACCAGTCTCCATGTGGCTTCTTGTTTAAATCCCTACTTGTAGGACTTCCGTGCAGCTAGATTTCAGGCAGCTCTGAATGATGGTTTTTTTGTAGTTTAGTTGTAATTTTGATGTGGTTATGGGAGGCTTCTAGTACCTCATTTACCTACACTCTCATCTTGACCAGAAGCAGCCTTTGATCCACTTTCAAATGATTATGATTATAAAACTTTTCAGGACCGACGC